ATATGATTAAAATCCGAACAAAAGACTTTAAAAGCAAGAAGGCATTTTCCTCATAGAAGTCACATGCTTTGAGCTAATCTGATGATGCTTTGGCAACCTTTGGAGTGTTTGGAATTGCCAGGACTTCTGTATCGAGTGAGAAACCTGGGTTCACACCTTGTATTTTGAGAACGTGGAATGTGTATCATAAGGGCTTGTAACAGATTAGGCCAACTCTTGGACTAAATGGTACAGACCGTAGGGACTCTTGACAAGCAAAAACTTAGTAGTTAAGATCCATGGTGTCAAATAAAAATGAATTTTGGTAGTAGATAATGAAGACTGTACTGATCGAGGAGTTAGATTTTGCTTTCTGTGGAAGGCCACAGGTAGGTTATACAGTTCTGCTCCTCACCGGAGAGATGCAGTTTTCTCTGGTTGTTTCTCTGATTTCAATCTTGAAAAGAATGTGTTTTATAAAACCACCAAGCATTCCTTAAAAATACCTGTTTCAAATGAAAAATCAATACTCCCATGTGTAACATGGAATGATCCTTAATGTTTTTTACTGGAACTTACTGACATATAGAGCAGGACAGTCCATTATAAAATGTAGAGCAATATTCCGCAAGTCCAATCAAGGAACTGTATTTCAGGTTGAGAATAATATCCATTTCTGTACTTGGAAAACTTCTATGAATGTTTTATGATGTGGTGGGAGTTCATAAGTAGAATTGCTAGGACAGATGCATCGCTACATTGGAAACGCTGAGAAACTTGCATCATGAAATTGTGGGAAGCTTTTCCTTCGTGTGGGATGGGAGAGGGCAGAAGACTAGACCAAAGTCCTGCCTCTGTTGATTTTTCTGTCAGTTAGATTATAGTATCTGATTCATCCTTCACTGATGAGCCTTCTCCCTTGCTTTAGGAGCCCTTTTCTGTTTATCAGATTGGAAAGAGTCCTGTCTGACCTCTCTGATCTGTCAGTCATCTATTAGAACAGTTCTGAGACCTAAAGGTTATCTTAGATGGTTGAGCTTAGAGTGACGTTAGGAGAAATCATGCAATGGTAAGCTCACATAAGCGCCCCTAAATAAGTGTTTCTGATTCATTTTACTAATTTTAATTCACTTATGTGTGCCTGGGATACTTTTATTTCATTGCTTTGTCTACATTATTATATTCAGAGTCCCCTCCCGTATGCCACTCTGATACTAAATTTAATTTATTGGATCCATTCATATTTTCTATTAAGTATTTTTGATGAGCAAGTTGAGCCACATTGATAAATGCAATTGAGAAAGAATGTGTGTTTTTAATTGTGGGGGTTTTTTTGTTAACCAGACACGAAATTTAATTATCCCTTAGTGTTACTTTATTGGAATGTAAGCACGTGCAACTGTTACCCTGAACATAGTAAGAGACAGCTAGAAAGTATGAAACCAAACAAGAGGCGAGAAGGGGGCAGCATTGTTCACTTTGGAAATTTTTCTTTCAACCGAGCATCCCAAACCCTAGACTGCGGGGGGAAAAAAAAAAATCAATATTTGTATGAGTGTTATTGTCAGGCTGAAAAGGCCAAACCTTTCAGTCTTCTTCAGGACAATGAGTTGTAAGGATTCTTCACAAGTGCACATCCATGAGTAGTTCTTTTACAGGTGTTTAATGCTGTATTGCTGAATTCAGCTGTCCTGGAGAGAGCTGCAGATGGCAGTCACCACTTTTACATTTTTGAGGGTTTCTTTTTCATTTTGAGTGAGATAGTAAGTTGAGTAAGATAGTAAAAGAATGAATTTTCAATTTGATAAGCCTTAAAGCAAGTACATTGTGTGCCTAACAGTCATGTTTCTCTGTAGGTCTTAATAGAATTTTTTTCTCAGACATCTCTTTGGATAAGTACTAAGGATCTTAAAATCAGGTTTTGAGAGGCCAGTATTATGAGCAGGTAGGGTAGTAAGGCTTTGTAAGCTTCATTTCTGCAGGCCCTTCTTTGCCGAATTTTAGTGACAAAAAGGAGTGAGCTTACCCTGGGATTTTAAGAGCACATATTTCTAATAGAACTTGGCAGTTCAAGGGCTAAAGAAGCATTTTAATCTTTTGTGCCCACCCAGTCTCTATACAAATGTAAATATGTCTGTCTTTAACAATTTGCCAAGAAATGTGGTTTTAATTTGTTAACAGCAATCCCACTCCCTGCAGCTCTTTCAGAGTCAAGTCACAAGTCTGGCGGTGCTTTGACGTTTTTCCCTGTCATGGTGTCATTGTTTATATGATGTCTGCTTCTGCTGTCCTCCTTTTTATGCCTGGAATATTTTTCTTTAATTATTTCACTGCCTAAAAGGAATTTGGGATTACTAGACAGGATGAGAGCAGATTAGCTTTTTTTCTTTCTTTAACAAGTCCTGAAGTTCCCATAGGAAATAAATAGTATTCCCAAAACAGACAGTGTTGTTTTTTTTTTTTTTTTAATTAACTAAAATTATTAAGTCTAATAAAGAAAATAAAGGAAGTATCACCAATAATGGCTGAGTGTCTTAGTAGTATATGGAGTGCCCATTGTTGTTATTTATGACTCTTTGCCTTCTATTGTGGACTTATTCCAGCCTTAGGGAGTTTACATCACTCCTAATAGCAAAAGGCTCTCTGGTTCCCACAGAGTCTTTCAAAGACTGACTCATATGCCTTATGTTAATTGTTCAGCTCTCAAAATACAGCACTTACAGGGTGTGGTTCCAAGGGGAAAATCTACTGTACTTAGAGGGCATGTTCAGAAGTGTTTCACATATAAATCATTTTGATTTTTAATTTTTTTAACACCTTAACCCTTTTCTGTCACTACTTTATGTGATAAGTTATTTGCAAACAAAATAAAAGGTTGACGATGGCGTAGTGAGGGAATGTGTTAGCCCTTCAGCTCTGGACCATTAACTCCAGTCTGACTCACCTCACAAGTGACATGGCTTCGTCATCTTTGCCTCTCTCCAGGGTCTGCTCTTCACACCCTGGCATGACGGTACACTCCAGGCAACGATCATGCACTGTTCATAATTGGATGCAAGTTAGAACTGAGGTTTATTGCTTATCTGCAGTAGTGAGTACGTGTGGACAGGAACTGTCCCCAGTCCTCCTCTGGATTTTGTACAAGGTGCTACGTTCCACCCATTGTTTACCACATCTACAAGAACTGCCTTAGCGGGCTGGTGGTCCTGTCCCAGTGTGCCATGTTGATGTCCTCAGCTGAGGACTGAAGAAGATTTAATAGAATTAGCCTTGCCATAAAGCAGAATAAGGAAAATTCAAATGCTTCTGCTTGTGCTTCTGTTCTCTGGCTAAGTAAGAGTGCTCTCCAGCTGCTTTCATGCAGAATGATTGTGCAAGATCCTTCAGTCTGAGTTGTGTGAATGTTACTGGAAATCAGAAGAGTTTCTACAGACTTTACAGTTAAGAGTCTGTGTCTTCTCTTAAAATTAGCAAAGGTCTTGAGTATCTTAATAATATTCCCTTCTTTAATAGTTTACAAAATATGAAAACGTATTTAGTCAAATTAGGGGAGTATGTACCTCTAACAGAATAGAAGCAGCAATTAATCCTTCAGATTAAACTAGTTAGGCTTGATTTCTGCGGTTGAAATCACATGGCTTGTATGTCCCATGTGTTTTCTGCCTGCTGTGAACACACGTGTTGCACCATTAGTGGACAGAACTTCTTGCATCTATCAATACACACAAACATGTTTGCATAATTTGCGTCTGAAAGACAGGCTGAAAACAGCTGTAGTTTTTTTAAACTGTCGAAATGGCTTTATTTCTTTGCCTGACTACACTCTT